TCTCGGAAAAAAAAAAAAAAAAAAAAATACTGTTTTGAATATGACAGATTGGATCTCAAATCCCAGTGGAGGACAGATAAAACATTTTAACTGAGGGCCTGGCTGCCCTTCCAGAGGACCCTAGTTCAATTCCCACCACAGGCCCCAGGTAAGCTCATGGTATACAGTCATACACGCAGGCAAAACATACATACAAACTAAACTTTAAAAAAAAATTTAAGGGCTGGAGAGATGGCTGAGGGGTCAAGAGCATTGACTGTTCTTCCAGAGGTCCTGAGTTCAATTCCCAGTGGTTCACAACCATCTGTAATGGGATCTGGTGCCCTCTTCTGGCATGCACATAAATAAATAAATAAGTCTTAAAAAATTTTTTTTAAACCTGGAGCCATAAGGTTTGTTTTCAAATCATAAGGTCTTAAGCCAGTTGCTAAAACCTTCCTGTGCCTTAGTTTCTGAATTTGTAAAGTGGGGAGTTCCTAGTACATAAAGTTGCTATGGAGATCAAACATCTTGAGGGGTAATTTTCTGAAACAGAGATGGGTAGCTTTTTGTTTGCTGGAGACAGGGTCTCTCTCTGTATTTCTTGCTACCCTGGAACTCCCTGGAACTCAGAATTCTTCCTGACTCTGACTGCCATTAAAGGCATGCACCACCACATCTGTCGAGACATATATACTTTTTAAAAGATTTATTCAAATAATTTATTAACATATTTTAAAAATAATTTATTTATTTTTACTTTATTGCATTCGTGTTTTGCCTGCATGCATGTCTGTGAGAGGGTGTCGAGTTCCCCAGAACTGGAGTTACAGACAGTTGTGAGCTGCTATGTGGGTGCTAGGAATTGAACCTCAGTCTTCTGGAAGAGCAGTCAGTGCTCTTAACCACTGAGTCACCTCTCCAGCCCCAATTCATTTATTTTTATGTGTATGCGTGTAGGTATGTGCACAGGAGTGCAATGCCTGTGGAGGCTTGAAGCTTTGGGTTCCCCCTGAGCTCATTTGAGAGTCTCTGAACCTGGATGTTCTGGCCCTCTTGGAAGGGCAGTAAGTGCTCTTAACTACAGAGCCGTGTCTCCAGCCCCTATGTGTTTGAATGAAAGGGTGACACAGTGTGGAAATTCTGGGCTGGAGGGCCATGCCTAAGCTGCAGGAGTGAGACCTAGGGCTTTGTGAGGGCAGAAAGGGCCTTCGGGAAAGTTAGCTCCTACTAGATTTTCCACTTTGGGGGTCAGAGGTCTTCTGCAGTCTGGATCTCCTGTGTTTAGCCTGGAGCATGACAGGTAGCAAGTGCTCATTAAATGCTTGCCAAAGATTGGTAGAGATAAAATTCAGCCTTGGAGAAGTTATCTCTGGGAGAAGAAGAATACCTTTTTGTTCAGAGTGAAGAGTTTCTCAGCGTCACTAGGAGAGCCTTTACCAAAAGGAGTTCTGCAGAGTTCCAGTGCTGGGGAACAGGCACAGCTAGTTTTAAGGTCCCATTTATTCATCCTCTGCTGTATGGCTACATACCTTTGTTCATGTAAATCTCATATCAGATCTGAAGGGTATGGCCAAGTGTGGTGGTGTATGCTCAGACTCACAGCACTCTGGATGCTGAGGCAAGACCACCAGAAGTTTGAGGCCAGCCTGGGTCACATAATGAGTGACCACATCTTTTAAAAAATAATTCATCTAACTTTATTTTTATGTGCGTTGGTGTGAAGGCATCAGATCCCCTGGAAATGGAGTTACAGACAATTGTGAGCTGCCATGTGGGTGCTAGGAATTGAGCAGCCAGTGCTCTTAACCGCTGAGCCATCTCTTCAGCCCTGTGAGCAACCATGTCTAAAAAAATAACCACCCCCCCAAAAAAAAAGGAAAGAAAAGAAAAACTTCCACTGTCAGCAAAATCCTGTAGGACAGTTTTCTTTCCAATTTACAGATCAGAAAATCAAAGATCAGTGAGATTACAAAACTTACCCAAGGGAGCTAGCTAGCTAGTGGTAGAAACATGATTTGATTCATACTGGGTAATTTATTTTGGTATTTGGGCCCTCAAGCAGCTTGTTGAAGAGTGACCATAATTTCTGTTGTCAAAAGGAGTTAGGCCAGGGATGGAGGGGTGTGACAGGTGACAGGTGATAGGCATTCCAGGCCAATGAAAGAGCTTGTGTACTCATGGGGGCGGGGCAGTGGTTCAGTCTTCCCACAGTCACATAAAAAGCCCGGACATGCTGACTGTGGTGGCACATGCCTTTAATTCTATCATTCAGGAGGCAGAGTCAGGCGGATTTTTGTGAGTTCCAGCATGGTCTACAAGAGCTAGTTCCGGTACAGATTCCAAAGCTACACAGAGAAACCCTGATGGGGGATGTTCTTCTGTATATATGTTTCTCTTATTGCTTGATAAATAAAACACTGTTTGGCCGTTAGCCAGTAGAGTCAGGAAGATAGGCAGGACTAGGAGAGGAGGAGAATTCTGGGAAAGGTAGGCAGAGAGGCACTGTAAGAGGAGACACCATGGAGGGACCAGGAGTATAGGGTGTGACAGATGTTCTCTGGTAAGATAAGGCCATATAGAAATATACAGATTTATAGAAATGGGTTAATATTTAAGACAGAGTGGGGGCTGGAGAGATGGTTCAGAGGTTAAGAGCACTAACTGCTCTTCCAGGGGTCCTGAGTTCAATTCCCAGCAACCACATGGTGGCTCACAACCATCTGTTATGAGATCTGGTGCCCTCTTCTGGTGTGCAGATATACATGGAAGCAGAATGTTATATACATAATAAATAAATAAAATCTTAAAAATATATTTAAGACAGCTAGCCAATAAGAAGCCCTAGCCATCAGTCAAGAGTTTATAAATTAATATAGCCTCCGTGTGTTTATTTGTGGCTGAAGCAGCGGGACCTGGTGGGACAAGAAACCTCTAGCAACAAAACCCTGCCTCGAAAAACAAAACAAAACAAAAAGCCCAGACATGTGGCTGTACCCTTAGGGCCAAGTCATTCCTGCATTGTTTGAGCATCTTTTAGGTCAGGGGCTGAAAGTACACCTAACTCCAACAGGGCCTTGTCCTTAGTACTAGGAGCTTCCAGGGTGGCGAAGATATATGAGCAGAAAGCATAAGAAATTGAACATGCCTAACACACCATGGCAACTCAAGAGAGGAGGGAAACATAATGACCGACTTTGGGATGAGTCCATGCGTCACACTGCAAAGCGGAGATATCAAGAACAGTGAGTGAAGATGCAGACTCTGAGACATTAGATGATTCGCTAAAGGGTTTGTGGAGATTCAACAGAGCTTTAGCCACTGGATCCTTTGTGCTGGTCACTAGGGACTGAATGTTCATATTCCCTTCTGAAATTCATGTGCTTGGAACTGATGCCCAGTGAACTGGTTACTAGATGTAGCCTTTGGGAGGCAACTAGGCCAAACCTCTCAAAAGTTGGAATGTCCTTATAAAGGACATTAACGGGGCCATGGATGAAGATTAATCGGTAGAGTGTGTGCCCAGTGTGCACACCTTGATTACATTTCCATCTCCATGCAAACCAAATGTGGTAGCACACTTTTAATCTCAGGCAGTTGGGAGGTGGAAGCAGAAAGGTCAGGGATTCAGGGTCATCCACGGCTAAGTAGTGATTTTGAGGCTAGCCTGGGATAGCTAAGACCTGGAGGGGGTCAGAGAGAGGGAGGGAGGGAGGGAGACAGAGAGACAGAATGAGAACTCAAGAGAGCCTGCTTATTTCTTATTTCTTCTGCCTCATTGAATCATGGGTCTCAGCATTGCCATTACCCAGTTGGGATTTTGCTAGAAATGCCAGTTAAATGGTCCTATCTAGAAACCACATTAGAAACTCAGAGGGGTTGAGTGTACTCTGTAAGGCACTGGCTGGGTCCTGGTCTGATCCTTACTGACCAAATAAAAAAACTGGCTCTGCAAGCCCCCAGTCCCCTAAGTTGATTCTTTCTTAAATCAAAGCTGAGTTAACTTTTCTGATGTGATATTTCGGGTTGAAGAATTAGAACAAACATGGATGGTGTCCTGGCTGGTTTTATGTCAACTTGACACAAGCTAGAGTCATCTGAAAGGAGGGGGCCTCAATTGAGAAAATGCCTCCATAAGCTCCAACTCTGGGGCATTTTCTTAATTAGTGATTGATGGGGGAGGGCCCCACCCATTGTGGGTGGTGCCATCCCTGGGCTAGTGGCCTTGGGTTCTATAAGAACAAGCCAGTAAGCAGCACACTCC